TTTTCAAGCTTTATATTATTTGGTTTATATCTTGGATTCTGTTATATTCACCTTTTTGAAGCCTCCTAACTTCTCATTATGATCAATTGCATGTTTAGACAATATTAGCCGTTATAATAATTATTTAATGGGGGTGCTGAACCCTAGACCTGCGAGCAGGGTGAATATAGGTGTTTCTCAAACTGTTCATGATTTAGGAAAGCTTAATGCAATTGCAGATTTTTCTCTAATTAGGTTTTCCATGCAAAGTACTATAAAACATCACATTTATTTGCTGGCTGATAGAAAAATTTCACAGCACTGATGGTTGTGTATGTCAGAGATTACTAAAAATAGGAAAATGATTTAACAACTTAGTAATGTATCTTTGTTTAGGAAATTTTCAAAACTGGAATCCTGGGCAAAAATAAGTAACTGGTAAAAATTTTGGGAACTACACAGTGATAGCCTAATAAAACTTCACTCTGAGGTATGATGTGTTCAGTTTTTTAATTAATGATTGGTATCATATATTAAGAACAATTTAGAGCTGGGTGTGGTGGCACATGCCTGTAATCCCAGCACTTGGGAGGCTGAGGCAGGAGAATCCCTGTGAGTTTGAGACCAGCCTGGGCTACATAGTGAGTTCCAGGTCAGTCTCAACTACATAGATCCTGTCTCAAAAAACCAAAAAAAAAAAAAAAAAACAATTTGTAGTAAATTCTATAAAAATTGAAAAGTAGTGTCTTTCTTTCTTTCTTTCCTTCCTTCCTTCCTTCCTTCCTTCCTTCCTTCCTTCCTTCCTTCCTTCCTTCCTTTCTTTCTTTCTTTCCTTTTCATTTTGGTATTTTTTGAGACACTATGTACTTGAGACTGACCTGGAACTCACTGGAACTCACTATGTAGCCCAGGCTGGTCTCGAATTCACAGCGATCCTCCTGCCTCAGCCTCTTGACTGCTGGGATTACAGGTGTGCGCAACCATGCCCGGCTATAGTGTCTTCATTTAGTTGCACTATAATGGCTGCCTTCATGTCCTGAGTCTCTGGATTCAAAACTTTTATCTGTCATGGTCATTTTGACTTTGGGGAAGTTGCACGGTATCAGATCTGATCAGTGAGACAGATGAGGACACACCATAATGTTTTTACAAGCCTGCTTTTCCATTGGATGGCACATGGTAGCAGCTTTCACTGTATTTTTCATCACACCTCATAAAGACACTCAAGAAAGACTTCCAGAACTGCTTTGGCAGAAATGATGAGATACATGTATTCAAAGCAAGGGAATGTTTTGAGGGTGATTAATGGCAACATGTCTTTTACTGTAATTAAAAAATTAAAAGGGCCGGGGCTTTAGCTCAGTGGTTCAGTAACCTGCCTTGCAAGCGCAAGGACCCAAATTCGATCCCTGGTACCAAAAAATAAACTAAACTAAAATAAAATAAAAATTAAAACATGCCGTATTTTTTGATCATCTTTCATATATATTTCTGTTTTTTTTTTTTTTTTTTTTTTTTTTTTTTTTCTTTTTTTTTTTTTTTTTTTCTATTTATTTGTTTGCATGTTTATTGTCTGTCCTCCTTCCCACACTAGAATACAAGATCCTCAAGGGCAGTTGCTCAGTCTTTTTCTGTATTCCTATGTGCTCAGTAAATCATTAATAATTGACCAGTGTCAAGATCTGATTGATTGGAATTTACATTACCAAGGAACATTGGATTTGCTGCTAGGTGGGAGAGCTGGATGTCACTTTGGCTGTCAGTCCTTAAAGAAGTAGTGAGTACAAAAGCCTTCATATATATTTCTGTATGTATACAGTAAGATAGAAGCCAGAGAAACTTACATGAATTTAGTAGAAGTATGTTATCTAGCCTGAAAGAAGTTATATCTTTATTTTTACTTTCAGAACGTACCTTGAGTGATATGTTTAAGATGCCATACTTTAAGTATGTTTTTGTAGAAGAGTGAATAAAATTAATAAGATGATAGTTTTAAAAACTGATGGTTTTAGGCTGGTCGTGGTGGCACACGCCTGTAATCCCCACACTTGGGAGGCTGAGACAGGAGGATCGCTGTGAGTTCAAGACCAGCCTACGCGACATAGTGAGTTCCATGTCAGTCTCTACTACATAGTGAGACCCTGTCTCAAAAACAAAACAAAAAAAAAAAGTGATGGCTTTAAAAATAAGCTGGATGTAATATCATATTCCTGTAATCCCAGCTGCTTGGGAGGCTAAGGCAGGAGGATCTTGAATTTGAAGCCAGCTTATTGAGATCTTGCCTCAAAGTAAATAAATAAAATAAAAAATAGTATCCAGGTATGGTGGCAAACACCAGTAATGCTAGCACCCAGGGGGTTGAGGCAGGAGAATTGCCTCAAATCTGAGGCCAGCGTGGGCTACATAATGAATTCAAGGTTAGTCTGAACTAAATATCAAGACTCTGTCTCAAAAAGCAAAGCAAAGCAAACCAAAAAACTGATGTGTATAATTGGAGGTTGTATTGAGGTTGCTTAACCTGAAAACACAAGGCTGGGAGGCTAGAAACTTCAGTATATATTTTGTGGCTTCAGAGAGTGGTTATCCAAGGGTTCATGTGAGTGAATTATAAAAAGGGAGATTTATTTCATCTCAATACATAGAAATTTCCTGATAATCAGAATGGTCTGAACATGGAAAGGGCTTTTCTTTGAGCTAGCAAGAATTGTATTAGGGCTATGCAATGTGGCACATTCCTGTAATCCTAGCCTGGACAATTTAGCAATTTAGTGAGATCCTGTCTCAAAATAAAAAACAAAAACTGGGCTGGGCATGTAGCTTAGTGGGAAGATCCTGGGTTGAATCTCCAGGACTGCCAGGGGCACTATTCTTTTATCACTGAATGGTCTTGGTATCCTTGGTGGTACACTTTTTTTTTGAGGGATGGGGGTGGTTCTGGGAATTGAATCCAGGTCCTTCACACTGAATTACATTCCCAACTATTTTTGCTTGCTTGCCGGCTGGCTGGCTTCCCTTTCCCTTTCCCTTTCCCTTTCCCTTTCCCTTTCCCTTTCCTTCCTCCCTCCTTCCCTCCCTCCCTTCTTTCCTT